GTCATTATCCTCCCTTGTATTTATCCATATGTTGTAGTTATCCTAATCATTATAGGATTAGGATAATCATCCCCTTTATTTGTAGCAATCCTTATCTCCTAAGGAATATGCTTTATTCTCTTGTATGTATATATATATGTGTAACCACGTGATTAATAATACAATGAGAGTTACAACCTTCTTCTTTATTCTTTAACACATCTTATGATTTATTGGGCTGGAGTTAGGCTCATTCAACCACTAAATAAAATCAATAAAATTAGGTTTCATTTAATGGGATGATAATTAGGCCTATTACAGCATAACCTCTATAAATTAATGTATACCAAAAATTTCTAAAAAATAATATAATTTTATAGTTCCAAATTAAATTTTTGGTTTAATAATAAATTAATAATTTTTATAAAATAATAAAAAACTATAGTCTTGGTGAAATTCTAACATGAAATTCTAACATTTCACCTACCTGTTGGCCTTTCCCTTCTCCATAATCTCAGAATTTGCAGTGACTAGTCTGATCTTTATTATTCAACCTTCACAGAATTTGAACTCTTCTTTTGTAAAGACTTTTTTTTATTATTAAACGACTAAAAAACACTTTGGTCTTAGTGATTCAGACCAATGTGATTGGTTTAACTAAAACAAACTTGCATTAAACACGAGAACAAGTCGTTCTGGTTTTGACTCTTCCAAGTACGAATGCAATAACCTCACTTATTAAAACAACTAATAAGTGAATCAAAATGACTCCCATGAACATTCTTACAGGAAGCGGACACCACGTGACCTGCGGTCGCTGAAACAATATTCACATGGTCCATCACAATATCTTCACATCCCAAGTCCGCATCGCAGTTCAGTGTGATAGCTTCATCGCTCGCAGACGAACCGTAGATTCTACTGTAACGCACGTTGCTCACTTTCACGCCTCTTGCTTCACCAGACTCAGTCTTGTAAAAACGACTTTTACCACCACAGTTCAGAGAGTTACCATATTCAAAGCTTACTTCTCCGCTTGTGCCTTTGTTGTGGTAGTTCTGTTCGATAATAATAGGATTCTTTGAGTCCACCATTTTGATATCCTCAAATGATATTTTTCGAGCATATCCTAATCCATTCTGAAAAAAAAAAGAAGAGAGCCAGTTTAAGTAAGTGGTAGGCTTAACAAAGATCATCATGATATTAAAATGACAAAACCTGGTATGTCTTGATTCGGACACCGTTCATAGTGTTTGTTAAAGTGCAGTTCTTAACACTCACTTCTTCAACAGTTGCAAACTCTCCATTTTCTCCAAGGCTTCCCACACTATAATATCAAATCCATATTTTATATGATTTATTAATAATAAGTATTAATCATTGTTATGTTATAACATTATTGTTTGCGAATTTAGGAATCACCTGATGCCATGACCAGGTCCGCAAAAAATACCGGTTATGTTGATATAAGAGGAACCTCTATTAATAGCAATGCAGTCATCACCAGTGGATATCGTAGAGTCACGTATGTCGACTCCCATACAGTTCGAAATGTCGATACCATCCGTATTTGGACTATCACCAGGTGCAATCATCTTTTGACCGGATATGATGATGTTCTTTGAGCAGCTTAGACTTACGTGGTTACGTGGACTGTTCAAATGTTGGAGATTAAACATCCTAAGACCATCACAGTTGTTGAAATGCATTGCCTATAAGAAGAAAAATGGATAAGGAAAGATGTAAAATGGTTTGATTAAAGATTATACGTTTTATAAGTGTAATATGAACTTGAAAATGGACTTACGGTGGGACGATTCTGAACGTGTCCCCACCACATAGAACCACGACCGTCGAGGGTGCCTCCTCCTTTGACAACTAGACCGTTGATACTGTCAAAATTAATCCATGCAGGGTAGGTTCCCGTGGACCAAGTGTAACCCGGCGCAACAAGATTGCCTCTTATCTATGCAATCAAACCCACAAAATCATATTAGCATGTTTCTCAAAGCCAAAGATTGATTTGTGTTGAATGCATTTCACTAATTTAGCAAATATGGAATACGCAAATTCTAGGCCAAAAGATATATAGTTTTTTTCAAAAAAAAAAGATATATAGTCACCAGATTAAATATTGGGTTTGAGTTATGGTCAAGTAAGCTAATTAAGTTAAATTATGTCTATGTTACAAAAAAAAAAAGGTTAAATTATGTCTCTGAAACAAAGAAAGAGTAGAAGTATTTATTTACCAAAAAGGAGATAGAGGGAGACTTGCAAGGACCTTCAAACGTAAGAGGCTTAAGCATGAAGGTTTTTCCTTGAGGCACTAGAAGGTTTGTATTACTTCCTCCATTACATACAGCTTCCCAGGCCTTAAGAAATGCCTGAAATATATAAAGGTATGTTTATGTTATGTATATATGCATACATCAACGCACACATGATTAACAAACACAATGATAGCATATATACCTGAGTATCATCGGTCTTCCCATCGCCAACAGCTCCGAAACTAGTGACACTTATGAATCCATGACGGTTATTTTCATTGTTGTTAGCCTTATGAACACTGCAGAAACCTAATTTGCTAATTTGAAACAAGCATAACAATACGAAGAACAACGAAGACTTCTTCATCTTTGCACGAATCTTATGATACTTGATACCTAAGACTTGATAATGATTATATATTCTACGGAGAATGACCATGTTTATATATATATTCTTTTTTTTATATAAAGAAAGTTGGTTAATTGATGGATATTTTACGTTATTTGCTGTGTGTTTATGGTAAGATTATATAGCTAATCACCACTTTCTGTATTGTAAAAACTGAAATTGATTCGGAACGTATAAATGAAATGACGAAATCTCTTGTAACTACACTCGTTAATGTTATTGACTTCTATTTCTTATTCACAGAAATGATGGTTTACTTAATATGATTTGATTCTATTACGATTCGATATAAAGTACATGACTGATTATGGGAAGAGGGGTGATTTATAGTTTTATTCTAAAGAAAGAAATAGATTCGTTTTTACCAAAAAAAAGAAATAGAGAGAAATCAATGTGCTCACACCTCGCCACACTTTTAACTGCATCATCATTTGTTTCTTTATTTGGTTTATTTAGCCATTGAAGCCTCGAACGTACGTGTGAGACGCGCGCCACGTGCTTTATACCAACGCGTTCGACCTAACGTGCTCATCCCCTATATATTAAAAAAAAAAAAAACATTTGAAAAATTATAACTTCAATTTTGTAATAATTAAAAAGAGCACATGTTTAGGTGTAACTCAATTAGTTAATCAATTACATTTAATTTAAAAATAAGTAGGTTTACATTCGATTTTTATATGTTACTAGATACATTTGTTAATCAAATTATATGATATGATGATATGATATGATATTTATGATAGAAACATTTATGATTGTTCCACTAGATATAATTACTATTTAATTTTCTTTCCTTAAATAAAACCTACGGAATTACCATAAATGACCAATATACATATATATGACAATTAATGTTTCTAACAATAAATATTTGATAACAATTTATATCTCTTCCATCATTTTTCTTTAGTTTTATATTATTAAATTAAATTGAACAATCAAATTAGCTATAAAATTAACCTTTAGATTTTTTCGTATATGTTATATTTTAAATTTTAAAAAACGATAATAAATGACTAAAACTATTAAAATTATTATTTTAAAAATTAATGATCAATAGCTTAACATTTTTATTATAAAAAGATACACATGATTTTAAAACTGTATGAGTAAAAAGTATCATTCAATAATAAAACAAAATATATATATATATATATATATATATTGATTAAACTATATACCATATAAGATTACATAATTATTTTAATTTCAAAAATTTCAAAGAATTTTCAAGAACATTTATAAATTATAAACTTATTAAATTTTTCACATTGAAAATTTTTGTTATCAATGATTTAAATATCTTAGTTCTTTTTTAATTTTATATTTTTAAAAAAATATTAAAAATTCGATAATATGGTTGGTCCATCTATGTTTATATTTTATAATAAGTTTTTTTATCAAACTAACGATAAATTTATCACTAATGTTCTTTATTCTTTCTTTAAATAAAATTAGTCAATTTTTTAATATGACTAGAATATACATGAAAATTAATGGTTGTGAATAATAAAAATTAATGTATCATCTATCATATTTGTTTAATTTTAAATTAACAAAATAAATTAAACAACTATATTTTCCATAAAAATAAAAATTTAGATTTTCTTGTCTATGTTACACTTTTTTATAAAATGATTATAAATTAATAAAAATTATAAATTTCTAAAACTATTTAATCTCACAATAAAATTTTGTTATCAGTTATTTCAATATTTTGTTATAAACATAAATGATCAAAAAACCATATGAGTAGGAAGCATCATTTAATATACATCAATACTAATAATACACAATATATACATTAATATCATTTCAGTTTAATTTTATGCCACATAAAAGGAATTATTTGTATTAATGAAATTTATTTATGTGTTCACACCAATTTATTTATATACGTAATAGTTACTGATTTTAAATTATTCAACATGTATTTATTATTTTGTAATATATAAAAAACATATAATACATATAAATATATATAATGTTCATTCTGCGTAAGGAGCCCATATTAACCTAGTACTTTTTCTTACAACCAATAAGTGAATCAGAAAAACTCCCATGAACATTGATGCAAGACGCGGACGCCTCATGACCTGTTGTCGCTGAAACAAGATTCACATGTTCCATCACAATATTTTCACATCCTAAGTTCGCATTGCAGTTAAACGTGACGGCTTGATCGCTCGCAGATGAACCGTTGATTCTACTGTAACGCACATCGCTCACTTTCACGCCTCTTCCATTACTATATTCAAAGCTTACTTTTCCGAATTTGCCTTTGTTGTGGTAATTCTGTTCGATGATTATAGGGTTCCCTGAGTCCACCATCGTGATATCCTCAAATGTGATTTTCCGAGCATATCCTAATCCGTTCTACAAAAAAAAAAACAGTATAAGTACGTAACACGCTGAACAAGATCATGGTGAAAGGAAGATTGATGAAATGGACAACCTGGTATGTCTTGATTCGGACACCGTTCTTTGTCTTTGTGAAAGTGCAATTCTTTACTCTCACTTCTTCAACGGTTGCAAACTCCCCATTTACTCCAAGGCTTCCCACGCTATAATATATGTTTTAAGTAAATATGTAACAGTCATAGTATTATATGATGATGATTGTTTGTGAATCGAGAAATCACCTGATGCCATGACCAGGTCCGCAAAAAAGGCCGGTTATGTTGATATAAGAGGAACCTTTATTAACGGCAATGCAGTCATCTCCAGTGGATATCACAGAGTCACGTATGTCGACTCCTTTACAGTTTGCTATGTCGATACCATCCGTATTGGGACTATCACTAGGTGCAGTCATATTTAGCCTAGAGATGGTGATGTTCTCTGAGCGGCTTAGACTTATATGGTTCCGAGGACTGTTCAAGTGTCGGAGATTAAACATCTTAAGACCATCACAGCTGCTGAAATGCATTGCCTATAAGAAGAAAAAGGATAAAGAAAGTTGTAAAACGGTTTGATTAAAGATTATACGTTTTGTGAGTATAATAATAGGATCTTGAAAATGGACTTACGGTGGGACGATTCTGAGCTTTTTCGTGTCGCCACCACACAGAACCACGACCGTCGAGTGTGCCGCCTCCACTGACAACTAGACCGTTGATTTTTTTGAAACTAATCCATTTAGGGTGTTTTCCCCCGGACCAAGTGTAACCCGGCGCAACAAGATTACCTCTTATCTACACAATCAAACCCGAAAAATATTGATTTATATTAATTGCATTTTTTAACTGATTGCTTGCAAATCAAGGGACGCAAAATACACGGTTGGTGCCATAAGATCACCAGTTATATATTGGTTTCGCGTTATGGTCTAATAAGCTAAAAGTCCATTTCTAGTGAAACCATTGTCATTTTCAATGACTATCAAATTCAATTTCAGTTGGGAGTTTCTAATGTTATTTGAAACAAATAGTAAGAGTATATATTTACCACAAAGGCGATGGAGGAAGACTTGCATGGACCTGCGAACATAAGAGGTTTAAGCATGAATGTGTTATTCAGAGGCACTAGAAGCTTTGTATTATTTCCTCCGTTACATACAACGTCCCATGCCTTAAGAAATGCCTGAAATATATTTACATAAAGATATATAAATAGATAGAAAAGTATGTTCATGTATATAATATATGCATAGATCAATGCAAAGAGTATAGGATATGATTTAACACAAACAAAGGTGATATCATATACCTGAGTATCATCGGTCTTCCCATCGCCAACAGCTCCGAAACTAGTGACACTTATGAATCCACAACGTTGATATCCACTGTTGTTAGCCTTATGAACACTTTCTGCTACGCAGAAACCTAATTTGCTAATTTGAAACAAACATAACAATACGAAAAACAACGAAGACATCTTCATCTTTGCACGAATCTTATGATACTTGATACCTAAGACTTGATAATGATTATATATTCTAAGATAGATGGCCAGGCATGTATATCTTTATATAAAGGAGAGGGTGGTTAATTGATAGATATCCTACGTTAATTGTTGTGTGTTTATGATCAGATTATAGAGCTTATCACCACCTGTATTGTAGCACTGAAAATTGTCAAAACTTATAAATGAAATGTTGAAATCTTTTGTAACTACGGATTATACACTTTCAAATGTTATTGACTTGTGCAAGAAATTCCCAAAAATGCCAGCTTTACAATAATGCATATCCATCGAAGATATGTTTTACTTATTATCCTTATTCTTCTACTGTTCGATCTGGAAGTAAATGTTTTATAGATTATCTAAACTCAAAAAATAAATAATAAATTACTGGAGAGAATTCAATGTAACAAAATCCAGAAAAGTTCAGGCTTGTCCACTGAAGATATGTTTTACTTGTTGACTCTTTTTTAGATTATCTACAGATATAGATAAATTAACTCTAAACTAGATTCTAACCCACCCTTTTAAAGGGCGGGTATAATTTTTGTTTTACATATGTACTTAATAATAATTAGAATTTTATGTGTTTTATATTTATACATAGTTTATGTTAGTATTCATTTAAATTATGTATTCAAATTATTTTTTGATATAAGTCGTAAAAACTATTCAAAATGCTTTGTAAGTTTTAAAGAATTATCCGTAAAAACTGCAATAATTTAAAATGCTTAAAATACTGGTTTGATTCAAAATATTTATTGGTTTTTTATTCAAATATCTAAACCAATGTATTTTATGTTAATGTATATGTCATTTAATATTTATATTATTGAATTTTAAGAATTTTAAGATATATTTTAGTTTTAAAAATTTATATGATTTAAACGGGTATTCAGAACTGAATTAAACCTATAAAATTATGAACCGAATCAAAATTTATTAATATCCAAATGAGATTTAAATCACTACTTCTAAAAACTTAAAACTTGAATAGACTTACACCGAAAACTGAATAAATACTTGAAAGAATATATATTGTAGGAGTTGTTAATAGTTTCCACTAAACATAACAACTACTATTTCCATATTGAAGAATATTTGATATGTAATACGTATTGGTGATTTTCATTAAATTAACACTTTACATATTATATTCTTACAAAATAATATAATAAATTAAATATTAAAAAGAGTGGATTGTATTTCTATGTTAGTTTTTTCAAAAAAATAAAATATTAGGTGAAAAAATAAAATATGGGTTCAAATATAACACATTAGAACCTTACTTAAAATAAAATAATTTGACATAAACCATCCAGTAAGTTACTGGCAGTAACATTTGTATTCTTCACCTATATTATAAAATAAAATAATTTGACATAAACCATCCACTAACTTATGTATTCTTTACCAATATTATTATCAAGTGCTAATATTAATATACGATTATGATTCATTTAATTAAGGTTATATATAACCATAGACTAATAATTATCCCAAGAATTGTGGAATTAAAAAAAAAACTATCGACAATTGAGAGAAGTGGATCCCTAAAATTATGGAATTAAAATAGAGGTTAGTAAAATGTAGTTCTTTTTATCGGTTGTAAAAGTTGGTTACAACTAATATATTTAGATAATCATTTAAATGAAGTTATAATTGTAGTTGGACTACACATATATCAATTGGTCATGATCCAATTTTAATAGAATAGACTAGATTTTAATCCGCGCTTTTAAAGCGCGGATTTATGTTTCATGCAAACTTTATATAATCGCAGTTTATATATATGTAGAATGTGAGATATACTTGTTTAGTTTATTAATTTCATCACACATGGTATTTTTAAAAATGCAAGATAATCTTTTAGTGAAAATTTTATATGACCATATTTTTGTTTTATATAAAGTAGACATGTGAATAAAATCCATAACTCGATATCTAAACTCAATCTAAACAAAAACATTTGGATCCGTAATGGTCAAAAATCTAAAATATATTAGAATGAGTTTTGTAAAGTGGTACAAATATATCCGAATCAAAGTGTTATTGGCCAGACCCGAAAGAATAACCAAAAAAACATAAAATCTAGAAAAAATCTGAATCAATCTGAATGTCCAAATTAATCATAAATATAAATATCTGAAACATAAATATCTAGTTTAAATATTCAGTTCTATATTTATTTTGAAATGATATTTAAAATTGATTATCTAAATTTTAAATAAGTACTTTCATATTCAATTCTATAAAAATAAGTAGTTTTTTTGTTTTGGTTTTAGATTTTAGATTTCCAAACCAATATATCCCGAATCCGAACGATATATGGTTACTTTATCGGTTTTAGGATGTGTATAAATTAGAACCAAACCCAACATGTTATATTTGAATCTGATCCATATATATTTACAAACATGCACACTTACAAATTATAACATCCATGATGTGATATAAACTAGGTGTTTTGCCCGCCATGCGGGCTTAAGCCTTTTATAATTATTTGTTTGTAAATATATTAATAATAAAAAAATTAGAAGCATAAATTATTATTTGTGTTTTCATTTTGAAATTTTTTATTTATCTTAAAAATTATTCAATATTATCTTTTCACTTATATAAAATTAAGAATTTTAATTAATTAATATGTAATTGTTTGTTTTCTGCTTTTGAATTTTTAAATATTTTATCAAAAGATAGTTTTCGGATAACAATACAAATAAATAGGAATTTTTAAAAAATATATTTTTAGATTTTGGATAACTCTTATTGTTATTATTTAAAATAACTTATCTAATTAAATAAATTTAAATTCGTTTTTATATTTAATTAATTCATATAATTAATTAATTAATATATAATTATTTGTTTTCTGCTTTTGAATTTTTAAATATTTTATTAAAAGATAGTTTTCGGATAACAATACAATATACATAGGAATTATATTTTAAAAATAAAATATATTTTTAGATTTTGGATAACTCTTATTGTTATTATTTAAAATAACTTATCTAATTAAATAAATTTAAATTCGTTTTTATATTTAATTAATTCATATAATTTATTCATTAAGGGTATAAACGATATTAACCACTCCAACTTTTAACGTGAGAGCTCCGTTGCGAAAAATCACTTCGCAAATAATAGTATAGATAGATTAGCTTTGATTTAAAATATCCGACCCATATTTCCAATTGGTACTTGAAATCCCAAGCATAACTTAAATTATGTTTTATATTTGTTATATTAATTTTTTTTTTGTTAAATACTTTTTCTGATTGGAACAACCCGTAAAATTATAATCATAAAAATATCAATAATAACATGTTTCGTCATATAAATGAATATTAATAGTAGCGATTATTAATATTTATTTTATAAAATACATATATATATATATATGATAATTATATTTTTATGTATTGACGGAGGTTTGAAGAATTTGTTTATTATTATTTTGTGTATCAATTACATATAATTAAATGTTAATTTTTTATATCCTAATGTTTTAATTTAGATATTATATTAAAATATAAAATTATTTAATTTTTTTAATATCTTGTGGTATTATTTTGTTATTTTGTAAATGTAATTCATATAGTTTATAATTTATATTATAATTATTATTTTGTGTAATTTTTAGTTACAAATATGAAATATTTTTATATAAATGTTATAGAAAGTTAGTTTTTATTCTATATATCAAAATGAGTTAATACTCATTTATAATAAAAATAGATTAAAGATATTGTTAAAATATAATCTGAAAAAGTAGTTAAGAGTATCTTTTTGAATATATTTAAATATTATATTAATAGTATATTGTTATTTAATAATAACTTAGTTTGTTATATGTAACATAACACAAAATTAAATAAATGTAAAGTTTGGAGGTAGACTACTTACAAGTAGATAAAAGTTGCTTCTGTTTTAATAGTATTGATTAATTACTAGATAGAAATCAATGTGCAACCTAACCTTTAGCATTATCATTGGTCTATCTCTTCATTTAGTTTGTATCGGACCTAGGCCCGTAGTTCCTATAAGCCCTATAGTAGATATTGAGAAAGCGAACTTAATCCTATCATTAGAATTTTTTTAATTAAATCTCAAACAATAAATGATTAAACATTAGGCCCATCTATAAATGTACGTTTGAGTTAGGCCCATAATAGGAGAAAAAAAAGGTTTTTAACGAATGAATAAATAGACAAAAGACGGATTTGGTGCTGAAAACGAAAGGAAGGGATCGAGACAAAAAACAAAGTACCGAAAGTAGCCTTACGCGTGATGAGAAGAAGAGCAAAACAAAGAAAGTGTGTGTGTGAGTGCGCTGTTTAATGTGGTGCATCACCCCTACTTTATGCTTTCTTACTTACAAACGAAGAACCCAATAAAATAAAACAAAATATAATTGGAAGAAAAGAGAGCATCTGAGAGTAGTAGAAGAAGAAGAAGATGATGATGGAGAAGAGAAAGATGGTGATGTGTGGTGTGTTATCACTTCTTGGTTTGTTATCTGCTGTTACTGCCTTCGCTGCTGAAGCTACCAGAGTCAAGGTATCTCTCTCTCTCTCTCACTCTCTCTATCTCTTCTTAGTTCTTTGTTTTTCTCCAGTTAATACTTTCTAGGTTTTTTTTTTTTTTGATTTTTTTTTCCTCATGATATTTGGGTGAAAATATTTCAATCGATGGTTGTTGAAACTCTCTCAAAAAAAAATTTTTAAACGACAGTTCCAGTTTAATCAGATGTCTCCAAATAGATTTAAAACAAAAAAAAAGTAAATTTTGTTTTTCTTCCTATTTTTAAAGTCCGTTGTTTTGAATCTTTGAGATGTTTTTTGAGCTATGAGTTGTTGGTGAGTAGATTCATCACTCTTTGGTTTGAGTAATATCGCCGACGATCGACGGTGGACCGACAATATATATTCATTTGGTTTGGTTTGATTAAAACTGTAGGAAAGAAAACCAAACCGGTTTTATAGAACCGACTCTTGCTTTGAAAGATTTGAACATCTTACTTTGGTGAAGAAGCAGAGAGAGACCTTGATAATAAGCTATGTGTTTTGAGTTTTGTCTGTGTTGTGTCCGATTCCGTTTGAATTAAATTCATATCCCTAAGTATCATGAGGTGTTTTGTGTTAAGGTAGATGGGATTCCAACCTAAAACCAATTGGTGATTAGTGGATTGGCTCCAACCCTTTATATAGTAGTAGATTAATTCTTATATTTCCGATGTGGGATGTTTCTCATCAATACCCTCCCTCACGCTTAGACATCTAGGTTTGAAGCGTGGACAATGTGGGAATAACATCCACAGAGGGTCCAACATCGGTATAGTAGTAATTGTAGTAAATTAGGTCAAAGGATCTTATCGCTCTGATACCATGTTAAGCTAGATGGGCTTCCAACTTAAATCCAATTGGTGATAAGTGGATTGATCCATCTATCTTATATATCACTAAGAATCCCTTCCAACTTCCGATGTGGAACACTTTGTGTCTAATACGCCCCCTCGAGATGATGGCTCTCTGACATCAATCTCGGAATGTTCGGGCAAGGATCGATGGGCCAACTTTGGGCTGGATCGATAAGGATCGGGTTGGACTGCGTGGATCGTGTGCTCTGATACCATGTTAAGGTAGATGGGCTTCCAACCTAAAACCAATTGGTGATTAGTGGATTGGTTCCAACCCTTTATATAGTAGTAGATTAATTCTTATATTTCCGATGTGGGATGTTTCTCATCAATATTTTGGAGCAACATCATATGTTTTATACGGAACCAAACTTACTATTACCTTTGCCAAGTCTAGGTTGTATTAATTGGGTGATCTTTTGACAAAAAAAAAATAGAAAATGTAAATGAACGACAGTATATAGTACTTGAGCTTAAAATCACATTCTTCTTTGAACTAATTTTGCTGCCTTTATTAGAAATTGAGAATGTTAAGCTTCTTGAAACTTTCTTGTGTGGTTTTTTTTCTCTGGTGTAGTGATAGTGCAAGCTAATAAGTTTCCTTCTTAAATCAACACAGAAATCTCAGGTGACGGTTACCAAAGTGGATTCTGTCGCACGATGCTCTTACAACAGAAGTCCAGCTTACAATCTCAGCTTCGCTTCAGCTATCTTTCTAATGATGGCTCAGATAATCGCCAGCGTCGGTAGTGGTTGTTTCTGTTGTAGAAAAGGTCCTTCTCCCACCAGAACTAAGTGGATTCTCGCCTTAGTCTCCTTTATTGTTTCCTGGTATTAATTCTCATCATTTCTTTTATAACTTTCCTAGTTTATAATCAATCTCATTGCAACTGATGATTGCTCTTTCGTGTTGCGTTTAGGTTCACTTTTGTGCTAGCTTTCCTCGTGCTACTAACTGGAGCTTCACTCAACGATGAACACTTCGAGGAGACAACCAACGCCACCAGCTACTTCTGCTACGTTGTGAGACCAGGCGTTTTCTGTATCGGTGCTCTCATTTCTCTTTTCACTGTAGGTCTCGGGATTGTCTACTATCTATGTTTGAATTCGGTTAAGCAAAACGTTTCTGCTGCCACCACAACGACGCCGGTTAACCAAGGAATAGCGATGGGACAGGCTCAGATTCCACAGAGAGTAGAAGATCCCGTCTTTGTTCATGAAGATACTTACATGAGAAGACAATTCACTTAAAAAAAAAAAATACAGAACAAGGCTTGCTTGTGAATCACGTTAGGGGTTTAGAAGGGTATTTTAGATTAAAAAAGGGCTTTGTGCTTGTTTTGGTTTTTATCTTGTGTGAACGTAAGACTATAAGAGAGACTTGGTAGCTGGATTAATGAATGATGATTAATGTTGTTGGAATGTTATAATCATAGAGTACCCAAACAAAGTCATTTGCTATCGTCTTGAAGTGTATAGTTTCTCCTTTTCTTTGTCTTTTACTTATTTATGTGAATCTAATATGGTTGTTGCGAAGTGTCTGTCTCGTTTACTTGCAAGGTTTTAGTATAGAGTGATAGTGATACATTGGCTTAGTAAAGAGATCACATAGATCGTTAAGTAAAGATTTTTAACCTTAGCTACCGGTCCGACCAAACACGGTTAGACACGTGCTTTAGCCCATAATCTTCACTCTTCAGGTTCTTCAAACTCTCTACAAAGCTTTAGTGTAACAACCACCACATGCGCTACCCAACCAGCCTCTTATAAACTTTTGAGTCTAATAAAATGCCAACGCATCTACTCTCACTTCTTATTTATAAATAACGATCGATAGCCACAATATTAAAATAACATTTACATATTGATCCTTGCTTTTTCTTATAATATTATTAATACAGAAAAAAATTACAAAGTAATAATGGTTGTGAAACTATACGGACAGGTAACCGCAGCTTGTCCACAAAGAGTCTTGCTTTGTCTTCTGGAGAAAGATATTGAATTTGAGATTGTTCATATTGATCTTGATACATTAGAGCAGAAAAAACCAGAACACCTTCTTCGCCAAGTAAACGTTTTCATGATTTTTTCTTCTAAATATAAACAAACCATGAGTATAATTAATTAACTATTGTTTTCTTGTAGCCATTTGGTCAAGTTCCAGCCATAGAAGATGGAAATTTCAAGCTTTTTGGTAACCATCCTAATAACAAAATATATAAATCTTTCTTTAAAGACTTGTTTTCTACATTTATATTATGTGTTTTGATATTGTGCGTATTTTGCCAAAAGAATCTCGAGCCATTGCGAGATACTACGCGACCAAACACTCAGACCAAGGCACGAACCTTTTGGGCAAGTCTTTAGAGCACCGAGCCATCGTGGACCAGTGGACCGATGTTGAGGTCGGTTACTTCAACGTTTTGGTACACCCTTTAGTGATGAACCTAGTCATCAAGCCGAGGCTAGGCGAAGAATGTGACGCCGTTTTAGTCGAGGAGCTGAAGGTGAAGCTTGGAGTGGTCTTGGACATATACGATAACCAGCTTGCTTCGAACCGGTTTTTGGCTGGTGATGAATTCACTATGGCTGATTTGACGCATATGCCGGCTATGGGGTACTTAATGCGTACCGATATAAACCGGATGGTTAAGGATCGGGTGAATATGAACCGGTGGTGGGAAGAGGTTACGGCTAGACCGGCTTGGAAGAAACTTATGAAGATGGCTGGTTTTCTGACTTAGCTCAAATTTATGATGATCCAAAGTTCAAACCTAATAAGTTTCATATTTTCTGTTTGTCTGAGTTTTGTACGTTTCAATAATTAAATCAATTTACTTTTGGAGATTTTAATTAGTCAACTTGATGGTGTTTGAATATGCGAAATGTTCTTATATTGATATAATAAAAGTATACTTATTATTTAACGTTTTGTTAGATACAAACATAAATTGCTGGATTATTATTACAAAACATCTCTATTAGCAAACAGCCTAATAAACCTTGAATAGATATCGTCTCCATTGTAAGTCTTTTTGTTAGTACATTTTCATAACATGAGCCAGGTCACATGAATCTCTGCTATTGTTTTTCTGAAATCAGTAACTTCTTTTTATATATCACAAAACTAGCTCTCCAACCAAAATATTCCTATTTCTTCAGTAGCCAAGAGATATAAAACAAAATAATTCACTTTTTACAAAGGGAAATAAGAATTTCATTTGGCCATTTATATGTATATATTAGTTAACATCATAAATTCGACCCTAAGCTTTTCCTTTAATCACAAAAGCCTTATTAATTTGTTCCTCTTGAACTTGGAGTCTTTAGTACTGATTTAGCATAAGCCAATGGCAGAGCTGCAATTTTCTTGGCTTTCCCAACATAAGCTCTCTTTGTAAAGTTGTTGTAATCATTCGCTTCAATCTCGTCCAATATTCTCCTGTACAATAGGAGCGATGCCCATACCTAAAGAAAAAAAATCAAACAGCCAAAGCCTTGGGGGTTAAATCGATCAAAAAACAAGTTTTGGGGTAAAAACGTAAAAAGTTCAAAGGCATATATGTAAACGGTAGATACACTTACCGGCCATCTGCTAGCAGCGTCTAGTTCGGTAACGCCTTTCTCAGCTTCGTCAAAGAACATTCTTGCTCGCTTAAGCTGCATTTTCATGAAGTTTCTCCATTTATCAGTGACTTTTCCGGCGAATATGTCTTCATCTGATAGACCAGCTTGAGCTAACTCATCTTGCGGTAGATAAACTCTTCCTCTTCTAGCACTGAAGAGATCAAAAACCGGTTTAAGAATGAGATGTAAGATCAAGAAACCGGTTAAACACGTAACATCAAGAAACCGGTTAAACACGTAACATCAAGAAACCGGTTTAGGTGAGATATGTAATTCAAGAAACCGGTTTAAGAATGAGATCTGAATCAAGAAATAGGTTAAACATGTAAAATCAAGAACACGGTTTAGGTGAGATATGTAAATCAAGAAACCGAGATGTAAACGCAAGGAAAAAGACTCACTCTTCGCCAACGTCTCTGAGTATGTTGGTAAGCTGGTTAGCTATACCGAGAGCCAAGGCAGCGTTGTAAACACTCTCGGTCGTTGCTTTGGACTTAGGATCGATTCCCATAACCGGAACACTCATCAAACCAACGGTTCCAGCTACATAATAGCAGTAAAGGTAGAGATCATCAAAGTTCTTGTATCTTGATTTCCTCAAATCCATTCTCATTCCTTCAATCATGTCTCTAAATGGCTGCAAAAACAAATAAACATTAGAAAAAAGGTTTATAAAGTAGAATTGGATGGATGTGAAATGATGAGGCTGACCTGAATATCGACAGGGTATCTAGCAACAGTATCAGCGAGAGCAGCATCAAGCATATCGAAAGGACGGCCACGGAAAAGATCTTCTAACCTTGCTTCCCATCTATCTAACGCCATTGGAGTTATGTGTGATGCATTAGGCCCATCTACGAGCTCATCAGTTCTTCTGCACCAAACTGCAAAAAGAAATGGAGTAAAATCATCAAAACCAGCAACAATCAAACATAAAATAATACCACTTTTTGAATTCCTCAGATCCTTTTGGCTAATAGTATCCCAAAGGGTCATAAGCTATCATTGGTCAGCATGATAATCTACAGAGTTTAAGACTATTGGGCCCAAAAAGCCCATTAAAATCCCATATTAGTAACAAAGCTAAATCAATTATCTTGGGTCTTGAACCTTAAAAAGATACAAATTTAGATGCATAAGTGTAAAGTTTGGGTCATGAACTAGAAAAGTCTTATGTCAACATGAGTGCAAGTCTTAGTTCTCATAATTCATCTTAAATCTACTTTTGAGCATCATTTTAAGCATGAATTCTAAAACAGTTTGTTAAACCATATGACCCGTTGAGTAGTAACTCACCGTAGATAGCCCAAATGGCCTTTCGCCTCTCAGGTGTCATAAGCAAAGTTCCTGCAACAAAAAAGAACATAAGAAAACAAACAAATAAAATACTCCATCACACCAAAAAACTAAAGAAGGGGGAAATAAATAAAAAAGATGCTAACCAAGATAAAAGGTTTTAGCATATTCAGCACAAACTTCACCGCATCGATCATAAGCTTCACCCAACAAACTCAAACTCCCAGGGAGAACAATCTCCTGTGGTTTCTTCACATCATCAAGGTCAGGAGAAGTAGTCCTGAGCTGTTTGTTCACCAAAGCTGCTTGTCTAAGCACAACGTTGTAAACCTTCTCTTCAGATGAGAGGGCTATCTCTCCTGCATGACTTGCTGCTAAGCTTGAAGACACAACACTCTTTCTACAGCTCATTACAGAAGAACAAGTCCAAGTTTTTGTTTGCTTCCTCCTACCATTGTTCACTCTCTGATTCTGACAACGAGAGAGCACTCTAGAAGACTCTATAGCCCTTACAAACCCATTAGTGTTCATTGGGTCTGGATTTGGAGATGAGGCAGCAACCCATAACACTGCTACTGAAGACATACTCAAGTTCTTGCGATGAGAAATAGAAAAAAAAAAAATCTTTACTTTTTGTTTGCTCTGTTTTTTTTTTCCTCACTAAGAAGAATCAAAATCCCAACTTTGGAGTGAAACCAGATTTTGATTTGGATCAAAAATGCTTTCCTGCAAATGGATTAAAACAAAAACAAGTTGATGAGAAATCGAGATCTCTGATTATCAATTCAAGCAAGTGACCAGTTACATAGCAAAAAAGACAAAAAGGTAACGGGAAGATGTTCAAAAGCAAAATAAGAACATCATGCGAGAAACAAACAAAACTAGATTACGTTTCGTTGTGGTTACTATGAAGGTATAGAAATGAACATAAAAAATAAAAAAGAGCTCAACAGTTTCAAATGAGAGAATATGAGTGATGGAAACAAAAGCCAACCTTTCGCTCTCGCTCTTTCTCTCTACGGTGAGAGACGGAGGGAGGAAGAAGGAGATTTTTGAAACAATTAATTTAACGAAAAGACAAGTAAATGGTTTGACCCATTAATGTCTGAAATTCTCTAAGTTTAGTTTAGTTTGGTTTGCAAGCGCTTACTGTAATTATAGACAAGTAGTAGACGTCTCTTCTCTTTCTCTTATCGCAAACTCTCCTCACCCACTCAAAATTTTCTTCTCTTCTTTCTTTTCTCTCTGTCTTTTTTTTTCTTTTCTTTGTGAATTTAACGAGAAGTCCCCATTATATACACATGTTTTTTTATTTTATTTTTGTCTGTATTATTTTAATTTAATTTTTGACTGGCTAAGTTAAAATGTCTACAAGTCTCTCGGGTGGCTCGTGTAGCATTTTTAGTTCTCATATAAATCATGACTACAAAGCGTTATTAATTAGACTAATTAACGAATTATAAACATGTATGATTAATATATAATAATTATTTATTGGTAGAAAGGGCACTGGGGGTTTGGGTGGGGCCGTGGGGCCGTGGGTCCATGCCAGTTTGGGTAAAAAGGAGGATGTGTGTTGTTGACATAAGCAAAGCATAAAGAGAGATTGTACAGACGACACGTGGACACCACAGCCAATGGAATAGCGATAAGCTTATCAAGTGCGGAGGGAGGAGCACCCAAGCGTAAAGTGCGCGACGATGCTTTTCCACGTGTCGTTATGTAATTGGTACAGAGTGTATAAAGCTAGATTTCCTCTTAGTCGGCATGTGAGACCCCACACCACTCTATCTCCATACATTCGTTGGCAATTTTCTCTCTCCTGGCCGAGTTACCTCTGTTTCGTTCAGAAGGTCTGCCTTTCATAAATATTTTGTTTTTTTCGTTGGTTTTTTTCTTTTCCTCTGTCCCTTTTTAAGTTTTAGTCGTGTCCGTATATTCCTCCGTATCTTGGGTGAAATATGCTGTTGCAAGTTGAATACATAACATACGTTGTCCTTGTTATGCAAACCAAATACATTGTATTGTAAATTTAAATTGCGTAAGTAACTTTTATTGTCTTTTTTAGTATAGAATGACCATAACGTCTTTATTTCACTCACTACTCACATTGATTGTTTTTAGTAGTTATGTACAGTTTCTATTTGACTGAAAACGCACACAAAGCTTATCTCATCATCACATATACTAAACCAGTCCAAAGTATACATAAAGTAACCGAAGTTTTATTTAAACATTGGGCATTTATAAGAAAATTCAAAATGTAAGACGGGTCCAGTATACATCATAGCTCACATTAGTTTCAATCCCAATGCATATATAATCTTAGAAAATAGATAAGTTATTATGATCATAAAGATGTTTCAGTCTTACGATATACATAGCTAACTAAACACAAGTTATTTCTGGTAAGCGGGTTGACAACTTTATCTCATTTAAGACTATTAAAATCAAAATTTACGAAACATGGTTGGGCGAGTGATAGAGAGATGGTTGCAATTAGAAAACGTGTACCTGTTAAAGTGTGTTGTTATCTTTCGTGGCCCATAAAATTTTATACACGATTGGAAATTTATCGTTTTCTATTATCAAATAATACAAATTAAAATGAATAAGTTAGGTTGTATTATAAAAAGTACCAAATAAATGGACCGTAGTCACCATTTAAATGGTTGCATGGCTTGACACGTAGTGCTACTTGATGCTGCAAGTTGTTTTTCTTTCTTTGCCCCCACGAATATTATACCATTGATCATTGTCATTGATGACGAGTTGTAGCTTGTACTAGTTTCTGAAGTGGTCTGGAAAAGTCGTAATATAAATACGAACAAAATTCGTTAATGGCTACGTAAGGAGTGAGTCAACCACGTACTTACTAAATGGACGTGCCATGTGGTATGCCTCCATAGTTCCATTATACACGAATCAGTGTGTCTACATTTTACAGCCAAACATCATATTTACCAATGAAATCTCATTAATTCGTATTGTTTCTACTTTTTCCTTTAGTTCAAAGTTCTACTAATTGATTCAGTAGCTATTCAATCGACTCAAATATAATGTACAACTATATACCTCAATCATTTCTTAACATATCACAGTTTATCGCTTGAAATATCTAATCGTCACTAACAGTTTATTCGAAAAAGAGTTATTGTAACAATGGTTCGCGGATAGACAAAATAACATCTTCTCAACTAGTTAAGAACATATACATAGGCATTGTATGTTCAATTTAAATACTTGTATTATTTGAAATGTTCAACCCACATTTTCATTAGGCCATGTACCTAAACAGGACGAACTGTAAACCTTAAGAATTGTATTTGTTAGGCCATCAATCATGCCGTGGTATTATCATTTTGTAGTTGTTTGGCAAAAGGTGAGAAACATGATAAATTATAACATACACCACAAGATTTGCCAAGTTAGAGCATCTCCAACCCCACTCCATAATTTACTGCAAAATGGAGTGGAAAATTGAGTGATGAAGAAATAAAAATCTCATTACTCCATATTTGGAGTAATCATTTTTTTGTTTCTACCACAAGAAAGTGAATATTCCAAATCACTGGTTTTGCATATTCTTTGTACTCTGTTTTTTTTTTGGTCACGTAACTTATTTGGTCTAAGTCTCCGCCACTCAAGTCTATTCGATAAACCTGTTTTCTCCACCGAAAACCCCAAACCTTATTATGTCTTGTCTAGGTATGTATACAATTCAATTATTGTAATGAGAAAATGAGTCAATTATTGTAATGAGAAAATGAGTCATCCCTGATGTACGGTACCTTAGATATAAGAAAATGATCATCTCTCATGAGTGTTAGATTGTGTTTCAAAAAGAAAAAGATCATCTCTCATGTACATTAGATACCTTAGATATGGTTGGAGATTTGTAACATCAATTTATCAATGCTCAAAAGAGGATTTCTGATACATGTTTATACACTGTAACAAAGTAAAAATAATAAGTACCTAGCACATAATCTACTGTTATATCTTAATCAACTGCAAGTATGAATCAAAGATAGTAAAATGAAGCCAAACAAATGAGGACATCGGTGAGAATGAGACCAACAACGTCAAAGACAAACTTTGGAGCAAACAAACCCCAAACCTGCAAGAAGACGAGTGAACAAGTTTTTTAGTCACAGAAACAGCATAAGAACCTTTGGCCTGAGTGAATATTTGCTGTGTTTACCATCAGATGCCTTCTGTGGATGGTGACGCAGAGGATCGTAGCTGTGACTGTAGTCGCGGATATAACTCCATAGAGCATGTACATCTGATTAGAATGAAAAGAAATATGGTTAAACACTTGTTGGTGAATGTCTATGAAATTAATAGTTTACCAAAGATGAATCGATATAAAGATATCTTACTTGAAACAATTGGTGGCGCTTTTCTCCACGAGCCTTCGGAGTCTGAGAGTGGATTGGTATGAGGAGAGGAAGTCCAAATACAGAAAGGATGATTGAGAATCCAAATGTTTCGATTGTCAAAAGGATGGCTTGTCGTATAAGCACAAACTCATCAAACCTGAAGAAAATTTATGTTAAGCAAAGCCATCAACATAGAGTAGAAACAAGAGTCCTTTGAGGTCTGAGTTTATGAAACTTGGACCTACCCAACAAATGCAGCTCCATAGCGGAGGCCATCAAAGGCGCACCAATGTCCGCTTGCAAAAAACATGCATATAGAAAGAAGACTCCATTGCACAACACACAGAGGATCTAATTTTGAGAATTTGTTATGTCCATCTGACTTGATTCTTCTCTCCACACCCTCCAGCCTCATGATACAATAACCTATAAAAACATATAATTGCATGAGTTAAAAACCTTAATGACCTGATTCGCCATTTTGTTATAAAGCTTTTTGCTTAGAGAAGCGTCAAGTGAGAAGACAAAAATACCAGCCAGCAAATATGCTAATGCAAGCATTGATCCTTGCTTCCCAGACAAGAGAATTACTGGCGAGCTACAAGCAGATACAAGAGCGACAGTTCTGCTGGCCAAATTCTTCTCTTTTCCTGCGCAAAACATATGCGCAGAAGCTAAAAGGAAGAGCTGCAACAATCCGATTGCATAAGCCGTTTGAGGGATGATATTTCTTCCTCCAATCACTTGAAGTAAACCATCCAAACCAGACATTTTGCTTTCTGAAGCCCAGAGCAATGCTATCAAAAAGTAGTTTAACATACTACCAACAGTAACATACTTCCATATCCCTTCGCTGGGTGTTTTAGAAATCGCTATGTAGAGTACATAAATGAGTACAACCACTGATAGGATAGGTGCAATTTCAATCGCATATGTCAATGCTGGATGGTCTGGAGCTAGCCCGAGCATCCATGTTGGTGAGCTACTCATAAACTGAGAAGTGGCAGCTTGCTTTGTTAACCCAATATCTATAGAAACTCTGAGAACAGAAACCATGGCAAGAAATATAAAGGCCTGCAGACAAGACAATGAGAAAATATTATTACCTGACAAAACCAGAAGTAACTTATACATGTAAGAGATAAAACTGACTTCTTTCCGCATTGTTTTACTCATGACCGAGTATCGCAGCTTGATTAG